TTATATTTTTCTTTGAAAAACTGAGAATATTCTGTGCACGAGATTGGTGTCAACGATGTCATTGATTTGGTTCATTGCGTGCAGCCCAAAACCTACGGATTACACCTCAGCCAACCCGTACACGTACGTAAACACGGAAAAACCATCGAGTTTCTAGTTAACAAATGATGGCATTTAGTAATAGCCATGGTCGTTGTGCTTTATATATTAAACTGTGAGACAAAACAAGCTCACCTGGGTACCCCAAGGTCTCGATTAAGAACTGCGCAATATTTATCTGGAGAGGGGGAGGGGGGAATTTAAATCTAATTTCATGCACAAAATCTAATTTTATGTGCTTAAACAATCTCGTTCCAGAGCCCGCGTTCCTCTTGGCCTGAGGGCGCGAGCAACCACGAACTCTGGCCTAATCCATATTTTTCATCAGATTTTCTGGTGTTCCGGTTAAATTGCGCATGCGTGTCAAAAAGAAAAATGGCGGAAAATTTGTTTTATAGTTCGCTAGACCACGGTCTATCGGCTATAGGAATGCCAAATTTAGCTTTGAAATCCAAACAACTTGAAATTTTAGAAAGTGTTGTTGTGTTGGCCGGTAAAGACATTTGAAATTTTGAATTTTTTCGCTAATACTAACGAGATTTGTGGMGCAYAGTCTACATAAATATCCAGAGAAACCGTCGTCTTCATGTATGTTATCTACTGAGCATATATCTTGCAAAGACGTTAAAACGCCCTCTCTCCTCGACTTGTTTCCAAACGAATCTACTTTGTAGCGATCTAAAAGTTTATTGCAAAGTCTACAAGTATTATAAACTTGCTGCGTCGCCGCTTTCTTCGGAGAAGACATTGCCACACTCTGTTGCTACACTTTACAATTAATTTTTGTTTACAATTTTGCAACATCTTCAGTGGGGCTAGGACTCCTCGTCGCGCTCGCGCCCGAATTTTGGCGCTGTTTTTCGCAACTATGATTGGTCAAATTTTACTTCCGGAGACGTCCGCATTCGTAATGAGGAAATTCTATTGACCAATGAAAAGCGCGCAAAATATGGGTTAGGCCAGAGTTCGTGGTTGCTCGCGCCCTCAGGCCAAGAGGAACGCGGGCTCTGGAACGAGATTGGTGCTTAAAGGGACACTGTCAATGGATGACATGCGCAGTAACAGTCTCACCTCTACTGACGGACTTTGAAAGTATAACCTTCGAGGTAAATCATTTTGTGATGCTTTTGACACACTTTGGAATACTCTAGATCTGTTTACGTTTACGATCTGATTTATGTCGCGCCAACTTGGAGTCATAAAGTTGAAAACACTAGCCTAGTGTTTTCAAGTTTACTCGCGCATGTCATCCATTGACAGTGTCCCTTTAAAGAGGGGGCAACGTCTAATATTAACTACAGCTTTAATTGTCAACAGAAAAATCGAACGGTGTCAGATTATTATTGAGGTGGAAAACTTCTTAAGAAAAGCGTGCTACGACGGATTTGCGACAACTCTTTATTCACCCCACCCCACCCCTCCTACTGATGAATATTGCACAGTTTCTTAGTAATTGTATTACACGGTCTTCAGGAAAGCACTTTAAAATAACCGTCTTTAATGCAATTTTAATGAATATCTATTTACACAAAGACTGATTCCATAAGTCAAAGTATTCGCTCCCGGCATATGAAACTTATGGGGGACAAATAGTCCGTGATCACTCAAGCTTGACCTGACAGTCCGTATGAAGTGCCAAATTTGACGAAAAAAGGCCAGATTTCAAGGCTTTTTGAAGAAATGCGGCGACATTAAAAACAATCCTAAAAACCTAGCACCGGATTTAAGAAATAAAATCTATATGCGACCTTTCTGGGTATTTTTCATGAGAAAATTCGAAAATCCAATCACGTATTTTTGCCCTTGAAGAGTTGAAGTTGAGCATTAAAATAGTATGGCGATCCATGTTTTCACCACAGTTCGCTCCAAAAAACTGGGCCTCGCG